TTCTTTTTCTCCTTCTCTAACTTAATCTCAAGTAAGACATGCTTGTTTTCAATTATAAATTCAGATAATTAGGTTTGTAAGATCAAAATGTTGAAACCATGAGGAATCCATGGAATTCATGGATAGACATTTGTTTAGTGCATTTTATATCCTTACAATTTGTTCTTGCCTTACTGCCAGACACCCCTTGACTCTGCCTCAGTAGATGTTGCAGTCTTCTCTCTTTCATTGATGGGGACTAACTTTTCTAATTACCTTAAGGAGGCACACAGAGTTCTCAAACCAAGGTGGGCCGGGGTTTCTTTTTTTTCAAGCTTTTATGTCACCATTCTTTTCTTGGTTACATTATCTGACCTTTTGTGGTTCTTTGCAGTGGTTGGCTTTTGATAGCAGAGGTCAAGAGCAGATTTGATCCGAGCAATGGAGGAGCAGACCCAAATAAATTTTCTACATCTGTTTGTGATCTTGGATTCACCTCAATGTCAAAGGTATTCTCTTTCTACACATTCCATCTGTTTGCATCGATAAACTGCTGCCTTAAGCACACTAACAGAAACACTTCATTTGCAGGACCTCTCAAATAAAATGTTCATTTTACTATACTTCAAGAAAAAGGTTTGCAGCTCTTTGTCAAGAGGATACCTTCCCCCTTTGTTTCGCTTGTTGATATGTTTGTGATTATGTGCTCAATATTTGCTTCTGCAGGAGAACCAAAAGTCAAAAAAGAAAGAAATCGAATGGCCTGAGTTGAAACCTTGTTTGTACAAGCGTAGGTGAGATAAAGAGGCACAAAAATACAACTCATTTTCTGCTATGTGTCCAAAATTTTGTCAGCTGCTTCCGTATCTACATTCTGCAATGTGATTTTGATAGTTGGAGATATAAATTGACTATCATTTCAATGTGTTGGATGAACTTAGACCAGACTCCCACAATTGGGCCTGAAATACCCCGCAGAAAAAAAGGGTCTCTAGAGGAATGGGGTCAGGTTGGTTTGGCATTAT